AGTTAACAAAAAAGGGTAGACGAAGAGGATTTCCATTACAGGCGATTATAGCTAGTTTGAATTTTGTTAAATTAGTCAATATTGACCTTAGTTGTAGTCTAAATAAGAGGTTAACTATTCATATGTTGTCCAAATCTAAAAAAGAAAAAAGGGAAAAGAGTCTACTAACCTTCAAATTCGAATAATCTAGTGAAGCTGATATATGCTCTAGAAGTTGCAGGGTTATACCAGGTCGATTTATAGGAATAAGGACTGAACCTCCAGATTCCACAGATTGAATAGCACATGAACATATAAAAGACAGCTTTTCCAATTCCTCCGCACTCTCAGTAGGATCACTCAATAAATTAGCAAGAGCTTCCTCATTACTTCTAATAAATAAATAAAACAAAAACATACCCTCAGAAAAAATATTCGATGAATTATCCAAGAGAGTGGAAAACAAAATTTTGATGTCTAAGCATACTTGATAGTTGATACGAGATACGAAATCAAAGTAGAAGTGCAAAATACCTGAGTGAAGATAAGTTGTTGGTTAAAGGGACTCCTGTATCATTCTCTACGACATTTGTAAATTCCAAGGATGAGAAATCAGAATAAATAATTGTCTCTTTCTCTTGAAAAGCAACGTAATCAAAATTCATTGCATTGGAGGAAAAGAAGATGGAACTTGAAATATATGCAATGTCTCTCTTTGGGCCATTAATGGTCCAGTTACAAGCGCCAATTTCAAGACCAGAGCTGAATGCTTTTATAACTAGTGCACCATTATAACATGTTTCTTCACCATATCTAAGAGTTTCAACCTTCTGCATACAATCCTTAACGTCAGCTGCACTGAGAGAAAGTCCCTTTATTATATCTAAGCACATTTATGAACAATGAATGAGAGCACAAAACGGATTGATTTTGAGTGGTTTTAGAAAACTGCAGTTTCCTTATTTCAATGTCTTTGCTAATTAACTTCTAAAGTACATCGATAAGCAACATACATATGATCAAACCAAGTTGAGAGAGAGGGAAAAAAGATACAAGTTTCACAAAACTCCAAAATTATAGTTAGGAAAGCAAAAGGAAACAATATCCAAGGAATTTTTCGCTCCATAACAGGCCATTGGAGCATATAGAACACTGAACGATTCCCACAAGTAGCCCCACCAAAAGGAGGTCAAAATGATGTCCCAATAATTGTACGTAACAAAATAAACAAATGCAGTATCAGATCAGAGTGCAGGTATGACACCACAATTGTAAGCTTTCCAACCAACAATGGCAAGATGATAGAGAAATATTTCACAAACACCATCAGATAAACAGTAATTATCGTTTAAAAAATTAAAAAAA